GGTGTAATATCTTTTTCATGTTATTGTCTTTTTTATCATTGCAAGCATTAATGAAGTTGTTCATACTATTTTTCATCTAATTTGGGATTGTGAATAGACATTCATAGATCTTAAAGATGTGTTGACAATTTTTCTAGTTTTTGAGTATTTTAACTACACTCAACCTTTTGTAAATGCTTTTGACATTATCTCAAAGGTGTGTTGTTGCAAAAGAGTATGATTGTGTTTGGTTAATATAATTCTATTGTGTATATTAGTCATATGTTGCAACTAATGGAGGTGAACTACTCCATGAAAACAAAACTTTCAAAAAGATTTATGCGTATTTGCATAGTTTTTAGACATTGTTAAAAGGTGATTAAATTGCAATCTTTTCATTATTAAAGTGGAAGAATTTTGCTAGTGTAATGCATGTGATCATGGGATGAAATTTGGATATATTGTTATTGTGGATTCTTGGAACTTTCAGGAATAAATAAGGATAAAATAGCCACTAAAGGTTCTCTCATCCTTTTCCAGTTGGTTTAAGGGGAGAAAGATAGTGTGGTATCAAAGCAAATGGCACGGGTTCAAATCTTATTAATTAGTGGTTACTTAAAAATATAATATACCCTTAAGCAACATATATTCCTATTCCTAAATTTGAAATCGTACGTATTGGGCATCCATGCGTACATCCTTCCTCTTAGTAGAGTATCCACGAACGAAGGTATCCACTGTGGGACTGCGGTATGAATGGATGACTAGTTGCCTTACATGGAATGGCTGGTTTACACAATGAAAGGATTGGTAAATTCAATATGGAAATAGAAGTGTTGCTAATTCAATATGGAAATAGCATGATCTAACATTGCTAATAAAGTTGAGTTTACTTTTACGATTGCTATAAGTTGATAATATTAGGACCTGGGATTAATATTTGATGACCATTCTTGCACTACTTGGAGCAAAGTTTGTTAAACACTTCTGCCACATATAAATGAGATAATAGTAATGTTATGTGGAGTATAAAGTTGTCACGAATGTGACTTTGGGTATCGAAAGTTACTTGTCGGCTAATCCTTACGGACACAATTTCCTTACTACCACGATAGCAGGAGGTCAGTATTGTTGGACCCGTTATCAGTTCCCACTTGGGCTAGTTGAGTATGATCAGCAAAAAACACATAGGGGTTCCTACTTTATATTTATCCAATCTAAGTGCATGGTTATTGACCAATTTTGGCCTAGTTTGAGAAACTTGTGTCATTGGCTTGTACTTGCTAGTATTAAGAACCTACAAAATATTGAGCTTGGTCCCTCAATATTGCTAGATGATAGCTTATCATGTCTGCCAAACACCCTTGCTATCATACCTTTTGTGTTAGTCTCATTTTGGTCTCAAATGCTATTTATAGAAAGTGTCTAAATTTACTTATTTGGCATATCTACGGAATGTAAAGATTCTCATGAACACAATGATATTCGTCTCGTATCCAAATTTGCAATCTAAAAACATTCCATATTTAGTAAATTTCAAGCTTGTTCTATAGACTAACTTTTGGTACTAAGGGAGGCTTGGGGTGAAAGCCCAAAGCATGTGTTCCTCAAAGGGGGGGAGGGAGGTTATGGGGAGTTCTAAATGTATAGTAGGGATAATGGGTAGGTTGTACATAGCCGATCAACCTGAGGCATAGTTTAACTCTTACTTACATGCTTGTTTTTGTTTTGCATTTGGCTTAGGTCTAATCCCAAGTTCCACACCATATTAGCTGGTGAAGTACCCATGTCTTTATGTTAGGCCACCGGTATTCCAAAATAGCACTAGACTTCGTTTGGCTCCGTTTTGCATGCTAATCCTGTCATTAGGATGTTGGTTGCTCTATGACTGTTTCAAGTCACTCTAGGCTCCTGTCCCTTCACTCCTTTGGCTATATGCTTGGGAGTTGCTTTGTGGTCCAGTTCCGTCACTTAGCTCCATGCTTGGTAGTTTGGGATTTGTTCCTTCGTTTAGTGGCCCAAGGCCTTGAACCTCAGGTTCCACACCACTGTCCTTTGGACACGTGGCATGTGACACATGGCATATGACACATGGCACATGGAGGGTTTAGGTTCCGCTTCATAGTGTTATCTTATGGTAAATCACCATAGGATAGGAGGTAAAAACCAAGTGCACTACAAAAGTGGATGATTGGTATTTGTTTATTTTCCCAATTTTATAGTGTATAATTTACCTAATAGGCTCTTTGCTTAGTAGAAAGGGTTGTATCAAGTGTTGTGGCAAGTTAGATTCCAAATTTATGATCATCACCAATTTATGTCATCATTGTGGTGAACTTGGATAACTAAGGATATATCACATTTTCACAAGTGTTTATCATCCTCAGATGAATGATTTGGTGAAATAGCTGATTGGACCTTTAAAAGGATAATCACAATGTATAAGAATTTTTAATATTGAGATTAGGATTGTTATTTTTCATGTCTTCAATATGTGTATATCATAGGGGTATAGGGTGTTTTACCATATAAAGTATTATATATGGTCATGATCTAACATTACCAATAGAGTTGAGTTTACTTTTACAATTGCTATGAGTTGCTAGGACCTGGGATTAATATTTGATTACCATTTTTGCACTACTGTAAACTTTTGAATCTGGACTTTTCGGGAGGTCACCACCCAACTCAATATTATTCAAACCCAAGGACACTTAACCCCAAATATCCCAAGACCCTTAATTGATTGGAAAAGGGGGTGCACTCTTTTTCATGGGCCTTTTCTTTTTATATTTGAACCCCTATGGATCATCTCTCATGTCGTTCTTTTTGGTTATTTATAACTACTTGGAGCGAAGTTTGTTAAACATTTCTAGTGCATATAAATGAGACAATAGCAATGTTATAATTCTCATTATTATCCATATCTAGAGTATAAAGTGGATGATTGGTATTTGTTTATTTTTCCAAATTTATAGTATATAATTTACCTAAAGGGCTCTTTGCTTAGTAGAAAGGATTGTATCAAGTGTTATGGCAAGTTAGATTCCAAATTTATGATCATCACCAATTTATGTCATCATTGTGGTGAACTTGGATATTATAAAACTGATTATTCACAATTGAAGAATAAGTAATAAAGAAAAAAGAATAGTTAATCTTTTATTAGCATTAAGTTGAATATTAAAAATTTGCAAAATTTGCAAAGTAAAGATGACAAAAAAGACTATTCTGATTAAAGGAAGAAACTTTTAATCACTATTTGATAACTCAACTATATGTAGAATAATTAAAGGAACCTCAAGAGAAGGCATAACATAGTTTATGCAAGGTTAAACATCTTTGTCTTTGTTATTTAGTGCTGGGTCATAATAGTGTATTATTTGAAGTTGTTGAAGTTGGGAAGCTAGACAACTTGCATCCCTCATAAAGCATTGTTTGTAATACATAGAAATACTGTTCTTCTTTATTCAAAATTCAAGATTGCTTCTTTAGTGGGATATGGCTGAAATCAAATATCTTCTTGAGACTGAAAATAAGTTTCTCTGCATCTTGATCTCCATCTGATGACGATTCTTCCACCATATAAGCAACAACATCATCCCTAATATTGTCCTTGAACTCCACATGCTCTCCATCACTAAAAACAGCTTCTCCTCCTTCCTCTGAACCACCTGAGCTTGACGATGAACTCAGAATGGACTCATAGGATGTTGTATCTAAAAAAGAACAAATAAAAAGTTTTGTGTCTGCTAAATTCAATGTCATACAACAGTTTCAAAAAGCAAATTGGTGGCAGAAGTATGTGTGCTTGGTAACAAGATGCAGCTCAACAGCAAACATGACCAAAATTTACTTGCATTTTCCTACATGACGTAAAGCATAAGCTTTAAGGAGAATGATAGAGAGCACTTACCTTGTGAATTCAATGCTCTTGAAGTTTTGTCATGTCAGGAAGTTTCCATGTTAAGAATGGCACATCTAGGGTAAGCATCTAAACATTCACCAACAAAGAAAGCACATAAAGACTGTACTTACTATAGCTACCATCTCGTTTCTTTGTTTTCTTCTGGAAAGTTTACTGAGGTCAGATGGTATCCGGTAGCTGGTTTGATCAGCACTCTCAAGCTGGAAGCATTAGAAACCTGCTCCAGGGACTTGTTCCAGACTCAAGTCTAGATATTGAGAGATGAGAATGTGTAAATGGGATGCAGCCTGTAAGCTGGTTCAGCGTGCCTGAGTTTCAAGAGCCAGGGCGCTGCCTAAGTCACTGCCGAGAAATGTAAACGAACGCATTAAAGTGAAATACATTTAGTAAGGGTTAGGGCATTAAAGGCATTTTGCAAAGGGCAAGCTATGGCGCGAACAGAGCAGGAGCGCAGTGGATGCGTCACAGGTTTGTGGTCTCTCTTTCGACCAAAAAAGGCGCACAAGGGCGACAACAAGGTCCACCCGGAAGCCATGGACGCGGCGGCCTCGAAGCTGAAGGTCCAAGATCGTGTCTGTGAGGCCGTCTCGGGAGAAGCCATGGACGCCGCCGCCTTGAAGTTGAAGGAACTCAGGCGCGAGGTGAAAATCGTCTTAGAAGCGATACGACAGGAGCGAGGGCACAAGGAGCCGATCAAGCCGATCAAGCCGGAACAAGAGAAGGAGGACGAAGAGGAGAATCAAGAGAAGAAAGCGGAGCAGCTGAAGGAAGAGAAGAAAGCCGAGCAGGTGAACGAGGAGGAGAAAGAAGCCGATCAGATGAAGCCGATGAAGCTGGAAGAAGAGGAGGAAAAGGAAGCCGAGAAGCAGCTGAAGGAGGAGGAGCAAGAGAAGAAAGCTGAGCAGCTGAGCGAGGAGGAGCAGGAGAAAGAAGCCCATGAGACGAAGGAACTCAGGCGCGAGGTGAAACAGGAGCAAGGTCACAAGGAGCAGCCGCAGCTGGAACGAGAGGAGAAGAATCAGCCGAATCAGCCGATCAAGCTGATCAAGCCGATGAAGCAAGAGCAGGAACAGGAGGAGGAGCAGCGGATGAAGCCGATGAAGCAGCAGCTGGAACAAGAGGAGGAGCAGATGATCAAGCCGATCAAGCAGCAGCTGGAACAAGAGGAGGAGCAGATGATCAAGCCGATCAAGCAGCCTCTGGAACGGGAAGACGATCAAGAGAAGATGAAGCAGCAGGAGAATGACAAGCCCAAGCAGGAGGAGCAGCGACCCAAGCCAATTCTACTGCCAGCCGGGGGTCGTCGTCCAGGTATGGTTCCTTTTGCTTCTCGCATTCTTCTTCTACTGTGACTCACGATGGCCTTCTGGACTTGCAGGTTCCAGGCCGAAGATGGTTCGCTTCTCTTCCTCAGCGGAGGACATTCTTCCCGACAGCACCCGACGGCGGAGTGAAACCCATCTCAGCGATGGCCGACGGGGCTATGTTGAGTTCGCGTATCTCGAAGCTTTCCACAAGGCAAACCGGTGGCTAAACCAGAGGGGAAAAACCGAGAAGAAGATCTGCAGCTTGGAAGAGGAAAAGCGCGAGGAAACAGAAGAGGAGAAGCACGAGGAAAAGTCTTGGAGTGTTAGCGCGCTCCGGATTCTGATCAGACTCACCGAGCAGCTTTACGAGGAGCTCAACGGCAAATCCAGCGACCGAGAGAGGATCAAGCGAGCGCGGAAGATGATGAGGCTCCAGAAAATGCTGGATAGGATCCCGAGTGAGAGGAAACCGTGGAAGAAGCTTCAGTCCGGCGAGGTGGTCTTCGTGAAGGAGGCAAAAGAACTATATGATCGTGTGGGGAGAGATTTTGTTGCCGAATTCAAGAGGAGACAGGTAAGTTTGATATACCTTCCAGATTCCAGATGGCCGTTTGCTAATAACTTCCGTGTTTGTTGTAGAGAGCTGAAGTGAACGATGAGTGTTTGTTTTGTCGGAACCATGATGGCGAGAAGATGATCGGCCGGGCTGGAGCGAACTCTAAGACGACTAGACCCTGGGTTTACCTGAGAAGAGAACACGAGCAAACTGTTCTAAGCACGTCGAAGAAACGAGAAATGAAGTTGGCTCCGAGCTCGAGAAGTTGGCTGCAAGGATTGGTCAACTGGAGGCCAGTGCTCGGACTCTAGCATCGGAGAAGCCAACTCTCAAGAGTCAAATCCAGAAGTTGGATCTCCAAGCAAGTTGAGCAGCACAGGAGGAGGCCACTAAAGCTATAGACCAGTTAAGTCGAGAGAAGATCGACCTTCTCGAGGACTCGACTCCAAAGATTTGGAACTGTCCAAGACGTGAAAGTAGTGCGTGACAACCGTGTCTCAGGGCTCCAGGCGGAGAAGTCCATCACACTTCAGGCGTCTAAACAGGCCAGCGACCAGCCTCCACACTCTTCTAAGTCAAGAGAAGATCAATGGATCAAGTTTGACTACACTCTACAGTGTCTGGAGCAAGGAGGGATCTATCTTATCAGCTTTCCAGTCGACGGAGATGAGACAGGAGATACTGCTGCGGTATAATGTTCACAGCTTGAGGGAATAGTAGCAAGGGAACGACTGCAACGAGATGGTGATAGCGAGAATATGATATAGCTGAAGCTGCTCGTGACGGTGGGGGTATTCGGATTCACAGAGAGGGCTGCAGAGACTATAAGACAGACTACACTCGACGTTCTCTGTCATCCGGTAGAGCTCTCTAGTTGACGGAGACTTTGAAAACGGGTCAGGGCTGTCCAGGAATGCTCGTACAGCTGCTCGGATGAAAGTATCAGCAAAGAACTCAGTGTCAGATTGCTTCAAGGGAAATCAAATCCAAAAGTTGGAGCGGGAAAACTCGGAGCTGTGGCCAAATATCCAAGCAAGTCGAGCACCACAGTAGCAGGTCACTAAAGCGTCAAGTCTGAGCTAAAGACCAGTCTCCACACTCTAAGTCGAGGGAAGATCAACGACTGGAATTGAAAGTTTCGGAAGATGGTGGCCGAGATGGAGAGTCCAAAGCGGCGGTTGACGAGGCTCCAGGCGGAGCAGTCGGCTGGAAGTGCAGCAGAGTCCATCAAACTTCGGCATCTAAACAGGCTAGCCCGCCTCCACACTCTTCTAAGTCAAGAGAAGATCAATGGATCAAGTTGGGCTACACTCTACAGTGTCTGGAGCAAGGAGGGATCTATCTTATCGGCTTTCCAGTGGACGGAGATGATTCAGGAGCGCCTGCTGCGGTAAGGCTGTCCATGATAGTAGCGAGGAACGACGTAAACCAGTGTCAGATGGCTGCAAGATGGCGAGAAGACGATATAGCTGAAGCTGCTCGTGACTGGGGTTTCGGATGGCTGCAGAGACTATAAGACAGACTACGCTAGACGTTCTCTGTCATCTGGTGGAATGAGGGAAGTGTTCGGACAGGAGTTCTTGAAGGAGAAGCCCCAGGGGATAATGGCTGACGGAGTCGAATCCGCTGCACGAGGTGGAGCTCTCGGCGAGAGCACGTGATGGCAGAGTTTGGAAGCGCAAAGGCGAGGCTGGAGAAGCAAGTAACTGGCAGCTGATAGAGAGGATCACGGGACTCGAGGCGCTGGAGGAGAGAGAGACGTGCCAGATGCAAAGCAAAGCTTTGGGCGAGGAGCTCTGAAGGATGAAGAAGACAAGCCGAGGAGAACCGATGTGAGAGCAGAGGTTTGACGGATCAGATGGACGCTACATGCGACAAGAAGGAGCATCTGGCTTCGCAGGAAGCTGTGTTTTTGCATACTTCCGCTCAAGCTTCTCAGCACGATCAAGGCCTGAAGTGGCGGAAGCATTTTCTAACTGCCAGAGGTTCTAAGCACGTCAAAGAAACGAGAATGGAAGTTCAAGAAGTAACCAGCTCTCGAGAGTCAAATACAGAACAGAGGTGCAAGCCAAGTACTGACAGCTCGAGCAGCGCAGGGAAGCAGTAGCAAGCCTCCAAAGCGCTAGAGACCAGTCTCCACACTTCTAAGTCAAGAGAAGATCAACCTCTTCGAGGAGATATCCTCCCTCGACTCCAAAGTTTCGGAGATATCTTGATCAATCGGGAGATAGCAGATAATTTTGTCAAGATCTGGGCTTCTCAAGCGGAGCTCGCTGAGACGGTGCCCGAGATCGGAGCAGTCAGCCAGCCGAGTGGAGAAGAGTCCATCAAACGTTGGCGTGAGAACAGCGAGGTGAAGGAGAAGATGAGATGCCAAGACGGATCAAAGACAAAGCTCTCTAGTTGACGGAAACGGGACGAGAGCTTCAATGCTGTCCAGGATCACTCTTACAGGTGCTTGGATGATAGAAGATGATGATGGCAAGATGATCTCAAACTCGAAGAAACTGCTTGTGGCGGCGGAGCCAGAGGTTCGGCTTCACAAAGACTGAAAAACGGCTGATGTTCGCCCCTGACATGCGGAGACTACAAGAGCTGGAGCAAACTCTAAGACGAAGCAACAGTCATAAAGACAGAAGATCGGACAAGTTTCATGGAACGTGGAAGCTGGTGCAAAGCGATTCAGAGGTTCAATGGCCACCTTTACAATCGAGAAATGTGGACTGAGGGTACGTAGAGTCATTCGTTTTTTCCTCTTCCATTCATTTCATCCGTGTTGTTAAACAGAAGAAGCAAGCTGCAGCGACACACAAATTGTGATGGTAGCTCCTTTAGTATCAGCAACAAATCCTGGTGGAATATCTTCTGAGCTCCAACTTGGTCCAGATCGTTGGAGGCCGTCTCTTCGAGACTAAATAAATAAAACATCTCAGAGACTACGCTAAGGAGCTGCTTATTCTGGCCAACTTGTGAGTAAATAACCTTGAGAGATTATGTTTCTTTTCTATTTGGAAAATAGTCTGACTGCCAACTTGGTCCAGATCATAGGAGGCCGCCAGAAGAATATGTAAATGAGGGTGGAGCAGGACTTGAAGCAGCGAAAGATAAAACCAGCGTCAGAGATCATAAGAATCGAGCAAGTGGGAATGGAAAACTGTAAGATGATTTTAAAACTTGGAGAGAAAGGGAGCAGGCTGAAACAGCTAAGATTGAGCAGCTTAAAGACGAAAAATTTCTTAAACCAAGCAGGGGCAGCAGCTTCAAAAAGAAAAATGGAAGCAGCTAAAGAGCAGTGAGCAGTGGAATAGTTCAGACTCGTGATAGTTTTTTTCATATCATTTTCTTTGATTTAGCTGTAAAAAGGATGATTTAATGTTCAAATTTATAATGTTTGAATCTCTGAAAGGTCCGAGATCCGATTTTGATCCTAGCAACAAGATGATACCTAGAGCACGCTAGGGCTTGGCGGCGCGGCCGCTTGGCAAGGCATCCCCCGAAAAACTCGTGAACTTTACCATGTAGGCCGAGTATTTGCAATCTGTAGACTTGTCTCTAACATCGTGGATCTTCTTGTACGTTTGCAAGGATTCCTGATCAGTTTGTCCCCGTGATTAGAAAATGGAAAAACAAATCCAGCTCAGGAAAATAAGATCTTACATAGTTTGCTCCAGAGGCATTACCATCACATAGCATGTAAATTTGAACCGACCCGACCAAATGAACGATCTTCAATCCACTGGGAGTTTAGCAACTCCACCTGTGAAATAAAAAGAACGAAACAAGAAAAAACAATGATGAGAGTCATACTATTAACAAGAACCTCCAGTGGTTCTGGGAAAAAGCAAAATCACATGAGACTAGAAGAATTCCAAAGCCTTTGAAGACGTGCACGTTGATAAAGGACGCTTTGCCTTAAATCTCCTGCTGGACTGTGGGGTAACGATGGTGATAGCGAAGGTGTTCGACTTTCTAGGCACCCAGGCACACGACACCACGACACCACGTTAGAGCAAGAACTCAGGAGCTAATATGTACGCACCTCCAGTTGTTCCATATGGTATAAAGCCATTTGACTTGGTCTAGAAGGTCATAAGCGGATGAAAAGGGAAAAGGCTTGCCCACCTCCTTCCAGACAGTCAAAGTTGTTACCATTGTATGGGAAAAAAACTAAATTTCTGCACGTCGCCACCAATCAAACTTGTAAGATTGCTGTTCGTGAGCATCAAAGAAAGCTTCAAATCATGAACGAGAGTCTAAAGGCCATCGCATTTGTAACAATTGGCAAGAGACTTCCCTTCACCTCTGCAATTTCTTGCAGTTTGATAGATAGATCAGCATTGCAACATTTTACCAGCCTCCACACACAAGCACTCTTTTAGATACTCTTGTATAGGAAATTGATAAGTAGAAACACTTGTCTTCGTTTGGTTATTATAAATAAAAGTTCCTACTAAATACTGATTAAATTGAGAATTGTAATCCAAGTAGAAATTTGATTATTAATTGATTATTTTTACTCTTTACATTTGGCCTTTGACATTTTGCTTTATTTAGTTATTATGTTGCAAGTTTATATTTTTATGGGTTCTTAAAATCTATGAAATCAAGAATGCTAATATTTAAAGCAAATTTTTATGGGTAATAAAGTTTTATTAGTTTCACTATTTTATGTTTCTTGAGAAAATATTATAATTTAATATATATTTAGTTACACACACACACACACACACACACAATATAAAGGTATTCTTAAAGTATAACACCAGACTGGTATACAACTACTAAATTTTTTACAATTGCATTAGCTGATAATAATATATATTTTATCTTAAAAATATTAAAATAATGATATTTTAAAATTCTCAATATACCAATTAATGTTAAAAACTTTATAGAAATTGTTACAATAAAAGTAATAAAAATTATATATTTTAAATAAATAAAATGGGATTTAAAATTAGATTAAAGATATAGTTTTTTAATTCTTTAATAAATAATAGTATTTAAATAGGATATTTATGTGAAGCAAAAACTCCAACAACACTAACATGAGTGAGTACAAAGAAGCACTGCTGCCTAAAGATTAAAACTTATTATTTTCCATCACAACACTCACTTACTCAATTATTCTTTACTTTTCCTAAGGCTTTCTTTTGTATTTTCTCTCCCTCTCCCATCAATATTATTATTTTCCTTTGATCCTTTATGGCAATAAATAAAAT